TGAATAACTTGCTCTGTAACTGCACCATTAATGCCGAATGATATATACAAGTTTTGGAGTGACAAATGCTTTTTTCCAGAGATCTTTTTCCAGGGGAAGACCTTGCTTAATTCAGTAAGACAATGCCAAACCGCATTCTGCATGTATAATCAGATCCTTGCAGTCTGGGTGCCAAGCAGGAAAAACTAATATATTTGGTGCATTATGAAATGAAACATACAACAAATGAGGCACTTAACTGTTGAGCAAAACCTTTCACTGTCAATTTTCAAAAAGCTTATAGAGCTGGTGCGACTCAGTGAGAGACATGGACTTACCTCAGCTTTATAGAAACATGTATAGTCATCATATTGCTTCACCAATACACTTATCTATTCGTTTTAGCTGGAATGAGAATCGAGTACACTGAGAAAACCTTTTTAAGTTTGCTGCTTTAAGACTGACATGTCAGTTTTCCTATATAAAGCTTATACAGGGAAAAACATGGTGGGAATGACCAAGCACAAAGATATCCGTGCTTGGTGGCACATACATCTCTGTGCTTGTCCCAAACAAAATGAGGACACGCTCCTCATAGACAAAGAAAAAAAGATCAGGATTTTGTAAAATACGCTTCTCAAATCAATTAAATGAACACTTGAGATCTTAATGGGGAAGAAAAATCATGCTGGATAAATGTACTGATATGGACTGAGTAATGTGTTAGGGATGAAATGACGCCACATTGTTTGATGGAAATGAAAATTATCAACCAAATCAAAGCGGGAAAATGATGCAGCAGGCTAGTCCATTACCAGTAGTCCAGTAACTCAAAATGTTAGTTTGTATGGCCCCCACATGCATGTGTGAATACCTGATGGTGCCAGGGCTCCTAATGATACACAGTTGGTGTCTTGGGGGATCTTCTCGCAGATCTTGGGCAGGGGCGGATCTAGAATGGTGGCAAAATGATTTCTTGCCATCCCTATTTCCACCCAAGTGTTACATATGACAGAGTTGTTTATCAAAATAAGATAGCATTAACACTTTGAGCCTAGCTATTATTAACACTGAATATAAATTATAAAACTGAATATATTACATAGTGTTAACCCCTCGCCACCATTAACAAATGGTTCAACCCATAGTGCTGACCGGATTTATTTCTTGTTTTCAGTAGCAACCGATGACTATGATCGTGCCAGATCACATTTTGAATCAACACCATGGGCATTTCAGATTTCACACAGGTGGTTGGTTGTCACACTCTGAAAATGGAATGAAGGTGAGTTTTATAAACTTACACATGTAAGTTATACACATGTTTAGTGCGGAAGGATTTTTTTAAAGCATTTTCTAAGGACAGCACGAAAACAGTTAAAAAAAAAAAAAAAAAAAAAA